GTCCCTTAACATATGCTTCCAGTAGTAGTGATTTCACATCCAAATCCTGAAAAACACCATCAATTGAAAAGGGGAAGAGGGTGAAGAAAACAGCAGGCACAGCAAAAATTCCACTTACACGTTATTTCCTTATAGGACATACTGGCAAGGTTGAGTCATGACAGTCCCTGAGTTTGACTGCTAAGCAGCAGTTACTTTTTGAACAAAGATTTAGAGATATACATTTCTACATGGGATTAATGCATTTGGTTTTGGGAAGAATGTAACTACTAACTTTTCTGATACGAAAAAATATTTAGAAGTCTTAAATTACCAACTCTGGGCATCATACTTTGTACTGAGCATACGAGGCACCAGGAAGGTGATAAAGTTTGCCAAATACCCTATGCTACTGTATAACAGCATACTGATTCACGTCAAACAAATCTGTAAAGACAAAAGCTCACCGTGTGCAAGATGGGCTTATTTTTAGCCAGCGTAATCATTCCCAGCCAGTGACCAAGGTTCTTTAACAAGGAACGGTCTGAGAAGTTGGCTGCAGCTTTATCTGATGTCAGTAGCACCTAACAAAACCAACCCAAACAAACATTGAGCAACAACTGGAATATAATCAGACTCAAAACCAAATCCAACAGCTGATCTGACTTAAGACATAGTTTTAGAACACTATGTCCTGAGCTTCAGTTACATTAGATACTCAAACGCAGCCTTCACTTCAAGGCAGCATCCCATACGTCTGCCCTGTAACAATTTCAAAATTCCTTTCTTTCAAGAGGAATTCTTTCTTTCCTCAATCTTTTCAAGGATTACATTTTTCCAGACCTTACCATTTACTCTGTCAAGACTGTTAAGACTACTGCTTAGTAAAGTATAACTTGTGAAGGCAATGCTTCCTCTTAACGCTTCACCACAGACCTGAAGGCTACACTTTGCATTTCTTGGGAACTGATTTAATTCTCATTTCAAGACTTAAATCACATCACAAGTACTCTGCTGTTAGTTCTGTTCCTCAGCTTCAGAAGAGCATCAGCTGAACAGAGCAAGGTCAGCCATGCTCTAAAGAGCCAGGAGATTCTTTTGCACTACAGCGTAACCTATGGTGGTCAGAAAATTCCACCAACAGGTTTAAAAATAGTGCTTGCTTGACAAACTTGTTGCATCCACTCGTCTCTTCTGGGCTACTGCTTCTCCCTCCTCCTCTCCTTATCTCAGCCCTCTAGCAATTTTGGTTGTTACACAGCCCCACTTTCTAAACCCCTCCCCCTCCCCTTTAGTCTTTTTTGACCAATATGGCAGAGTGGTTTTCTCATCTTTATACTTCCCACACACAAAAAAACAGACCATAAGCCATTTCCCCCTAGGTTGTAATTTGCAAGCCTCACACAAATTTAGAGTCCACCCACATAAACGAATTCAAAAGCAGATTTGGCCTCTTATTACACAATTTGAATTAAGTCTTTGGGACACTGCTGGCAAAGCAGAAGAATCCTAGTATTCATAGAGGTAACACACCAGTTCAATTATAAGCTAGCAAGTAGATTTTGGAATGATATTCCATATTTGAAGATCAGCAACACAGTAAGCAAACAGCCTGAGAACGCCACACTTAAATACTTAAACCTACTTAAGTATGAGAAAACTTGCACTACTCACCTTGATATTTCTGTAGGTTTCATTCAGAACCATTTTATTAAATTCTGGATTCTTAAGTGTGTCAAGGAAGTTTGAATATAAGCTGTGAAAATTAGGCTCAATACTGACTCTCTTCATCACAAGATACTGTGATACCCAAGGCATGAACTCTTCTTTCACTGTTTCCTTCAACTCTTCAACCTGTCTCCATAGCAGAGGAAAAAGCACATCACAGAAGATAAGAGATGACCAAAAACTTTTGGGGTCAGCTCTGACCAGTACAGACATATTCAGTCAATTGTGTTTAACACTAAAGTTTGGGGTTTTGTGTTGTTTTGTTTGTTTATTTTTTAAATAGCTTTGAAGCCAGTGTCTCATTATCCAAAGATCCGGTCAATCAGTAAGGACTTAATTCTCAAATGAAGGAGTTTACTTCTCCCCCGCTTCAGCTTTTTACCAGATAACTGCAAAATAAATGTTGGCATCTCACATGGAAGCTGCCTGTCCACAAGACAGATAGCACATGTGGCAGCAGTACTGCAGATTTCTACCATGTAAGAAAAAATTCCCGAAATTTCAGCTTGAAATGCAAGAGTCCATGAGCTTAATCTTGCAATATCAAATGGTAACCAGCCCAGTTATGATGTGAACATTTGTTCAAACTTGTATTAATATTTTTTTCAGAAGCTTGCATGAGTACTTTTCAGTCCTTTCAAGTGAAAAAACCAGACAGGACTGTCCAGCAGTTATTCCAGGCATCTACTAGAAGCGCTTTCCTGAAAACAAAGCATTAATGACATACAATACTTTAGTACAAAGGATCTGGCTATATAGAAACAAGGGAACTTGTAGGAGAAAGCAAGACGAAGAACAGCTATCTTTTATCCATCTCCCCTTTCTCGGAAAAATTCTCCACAGAGGTTCAAGCAGAAGTGTTGGAAACTATTTCTTTACAGCATGCTCCCTTCCTCATTTTTTGCAAGTCGGAGTATTTGTAGAAACATGGTCACCCACCACTTCAGAATGATTTTCCAGAAATATACAAAAAATTAATTTTACTAGTGTTCTTCCATACTTGCCTTCTGTGTCATATTTGACTGAGACAGATTATTGAAGATGAAAGCAATTTTTTCCTGGACATTCTCTGGAGGTTCCACAATTCTCTCAGTTTGATCTGTTGCTACTAACAGCGTATCAATGTTGGTAGTATTAATGGAAGGCTGGAGGGAAAACAAGAGGTTAAGAACAGACAATACCTAGAGGTGACAACAAAAGAAACTTTTGCTCTGTTCTGTCAGGCAAAAAAAGAATTGAGCTTTATCAGGTGACATCTACTGTCTCACGATTCATTTTCAGCAGCACTCTAACAGAGCCAAGCAATTGTTACTCTAAAAATGATGAGCAATACTCAGCAGAAGAGTGCTGCTGTACAAAAAGAACTCTAGTGTTTACATTCACATATAATGGGTGCCACTGCAAAGAGGCACTCACCAGGCTAACAGCCTGCACACGCTGGTAGCCTGGAGAAAATCCTAGTACAGTAGTACAGCAGTGAGTCTCTAGGAGCACTTCAGTGCTGATTCAGGAAGAAGAGATCCCAAAGGTTCATCGCTGAGAAAGTATGCCAACCGTAACCCAACAGAACACGACCCATGTCCCTACAGCTGCAGGTGTGAACTCAGGGGCTTTAGCTCCTGGCACACTGACAATTAAGGGGAAAGGAGACACAGTTTTAAATATCAATCATGACTTGAGTTAAAAATTGGGAAATACAGACACCTCAGAATAACAACTATTTATGTGATGTAATCACATGTGAAACGTTAACAGCTGCACTGTGAACCGCCCCCCGCAATTTGTTCACAACACTTTCAGCTACCTTTGGCTTTTGTCTCCTTTAATTTGAGGAGCTTCTTTTAAAGAACTATACAAAGACAGTACCAGGAAACAAGGCAGGCTTGACTTGACAGTTATACAGTAACAACTCTATGCATCCTCAGCATACACGTGGGACCAAGCGTGCCCCAACACTTTCTGTGGAACAGCCAATACTACCCATCTGCCAACACTGCAATAACTCTGACCAGCAGTTCAGAGATTTGTTTACATAAGTGACTAAATACTTGAAAAACCTTATACAGTTAGAACTGCTGGGTCAAGTGTGATTTAGTGTGCAGGACGTATTCTCAAGCACCAAGCAGAATAGCAGCTACCCACTATGCCAAGAGTCATATTGCAACTCATTAATGGGAACAATGGTTCTGTAATTGTCTTGATATTTAAAGCCTCAACAAACACATTTCTACTTGACACCATAGTAATTCTATAGTTTCATGATCAAAAACTTCTCTACAAAAATGCTGGTCATTAGACAAGGTTATAGGCTTTAGACAAAATACAGACAACAGTTTGAAAACTTGTATAGAAATTACATCAGATTTTGTCTCCATGTACTCAACACAGATCAGCTTCCCCAGTAAGGGCACTGGAGTGACAGAATGCTTACCGGCACATCTTTCTTGAAGCTGACTCCAGTTGGTCGTGTGATTGTAATGGTTTTTGCAACAGTGGTGGTGGTTGAGGTGGTTACTATAGTGCTGACTTGGCCAGCAAGAGGAGCTTTTGCTGGAACTTGGGCCTGGGCCTGAGCCTGGGCAAGTGCAATACTTCCAGGGGTGGTGATTGAACCCTGCATCTTCACAGGAGGATCTCTGGATTGCTGTCCATATTCTATGTACTAAAATAGGGTAAACAAGCACATACAAAATTCACATTCAAGTTTTAGCATGAGCAGTAGAATGGTTTGCCATCGATCTTTAAAATACCTGACGCTAATGCCATTGAGGGAATCTGCAAGATCCAACTGAACGGCCTTATGAAAGCATGTCTTGTCACGATCTACTTTCTTCCTGGAGAAGAGCCTCAAGCTCTACCTCTGACCTCAACAGGTTGATACCAAGTGTCAAGGGACTCTACATCCTTAAAATTTTACACAGCAGTACCCAGAACCCCCCATTCCTGCAGGCCTAGGATAGCAGAGCAAAGGAGGGGAAAGAGCATAAGAGCAAATGTGCAAATATCAAGAAACTCGCTACAAAGGAGGTAAGAAGTCTCCCCCAAGGACTTCAGCAATTTGTAACATCAGACAATGCATTGTCATTTAAGGGATACGGTGGGCTGAAACCTGTTACTGAAACACATTGCTACTGGACTTTGCACCTTTGGGTAGACAGCCTCTCTGCCTTAGTATTAGAGCTGATCATTCTTCCTTATTTAGATTATGCTCAAGCTCTGTCATAGATCAGCTTTTCTGTATTTCTACCAATGAAAGCACCTTCGAGGCAGACACCATGAGCAACACTGCTTTTACTCCTTGGACTACAGGATATTTCCATTACTCTGATCAGACCTTCAGGAATGAAATTTTTCTCACCTTCACCTGAATGACTTTAGCAGGTTTGAGTATGAACCTCTATAAACCCAGCTGAATGCCCTTTATTTGAGAAGAAAACTCCAAATCCTTAAGGGTCTGGAATGTGAATCCACGGAAGGCCTTTAAAAGCTTTGGGCATGGCCCATGTGCACTGGTTGATCATGCAGTTATACTCAGACAGTTATTTCAATATAAGCAACCCAAACAGATTTATGGAAATAGAAGAGGTACCAGATTAACCACCATCACCTGTCCACCCCATCCCATTTGCTTCCATAGATGTACATTGTCTAAAATTGTGAGAGCTTGGACTGTTTTTCCAAAGGAAGACAGGAATTTGTTCAAAAGAATTTAAAATCATAGAAAGCTAGTGTGCTAATACAAACACACTCACCTCCTGTAAATGATGCGGGAACTGTATAAAGTGACTAATAGAAGCCAAGTGCTGACAATACTGGGGATAGTCCTTCAATCTGTCAGACAAAATATGCATTAGTCAAACATAAGGCAGATGAAAAACAGTATTACAGAGAAATATAAATATAACACTAGTATGTCATTCTCACACTGCATCACAGAATTACTTCTGGACTGCTTACAGCAGCTGTGCTATAAACAAAGAACTTTGTAGAATGTACTTTTTGTTGCAAAACTCATTTGAAATTAATCCATTTAACAGCAAAACACAAGGTTTATTCACAGCAACTCGCCTTATCCTACATCTGGATACTTCTGACTGAGCACACAATCGCATTTATATTCAGTGTTTGCAGTAAGATTATTGGGTAAGTAATTTGTAGTCTGGCTCAGTGCATTTTAAAGAGCAAACCAGTGTCCCTAACAGCCAAGACAGAAGCTTCACCTATGCACACCAATTATCATAGTTCTGCTTATGAATGCTAGACACTACTATCACTCATTGAGAGTAAAATCTTCAGGTGCGGCTTAAAATGGTTCTTAAGAGAAGCAAGATGGTGGCTAAGTCTCAAGTATGTCAGCGTTAAGTGTATTTATTCATTCTGTCCAGAGAACTCCACAACACAACATCTAACCATGAAAGCTCCAAGAAACAGCTTTTATTACAGATGAAATACTGCAAGGCAGGTGAATTATAAAAGGAGCAGAAGGACAGACGATAACATGCTCCTCACTTATGGGTCCACACCTCAAGACCAAGCATTTCTAGTCACTACAATAATATCAGGAAGCTTTCTAATAGTTTTCAAGTTCAAGTATCTTCTTCCAGAATGGAGATCTTCTCCAGGGGTGTCCAATCCTGCCTACTACAGCAGCCTGCCTTGAGTTCCCTCTACCTGCAAATCCACTAAAAGCTTTGAGAAAGCTTTCTTTTTTTTTGACATACTTTTGCTCTACTTGAGATTTCTGTGTAAAACCAAAGTCCTAGAGCTTAGTTCCTAGGCAGTCTTTCAGTAATGAAGAGTGCAAATAGCAGTCCACTAGAATGCACCTGTAAAGAGTAATTACACTCACCCCATTTCTAACAAGCTGGCAACTTCATTGAACTCAACACTTCAGTTACTTTTATAAAAGTCCGCTAAGTAGTTTCAGTATCTCAGTTTATCCCACATTTATACACTGCATTGGACATTCTGATTTTAAAAAGTCACCTAGCACATTAGGACGTTTTGTTTCCCCTAAGCATATCTTTAAAGTAATCCTGAAGTTGAGATGTGTAAATTTCTAACACATATAAGCAATCCTGTACTGCATAATCAGAGCAGGTTCAAGGCTGACAAGACATTACATGTACTGTTATGAGTATTACCAAAACCACACTCACCTATTTTTAAATCTATCTAGTGCAGCAATACCAAAATAGTACATTTTGGACGCAAAAGGCTTTCGTAAGGCTTCAAGAACATAGCGCAGGGCCAGGCCCAATGCCATGTAAGTAACCAGTCCTTTCTCTATTATCCCACCAAAGAGGCAGGCTGTTATGTGCAGCTCTTTATCTGGGTACTGGGGAAAGAAACGGTATTCCTCAAACAAGTTCCTCAGCATACAGTTAAACACTTCTCGTTCCCGTTTAATGTTGGAGTCCTTAAACCTCTGCAGCATTTCCAAGACCTGTGAAGAAATTGGAAATTGTTACCAATAGATTTGCTTTATTTCAGCCCTTTTGCATCTTCAGGTTTCAAGAGTGTTTGTACCCGCTAAGGTAAACTGCAGTACCACAAGCTAGACTGCAAACCAACTCCTTCACGAAAACCTCATTTTAGCCAGTAGACACTACATCACTACAAGCTTCCTCTTCAGACTTCAGTTTTCTCCACTTTCCTTTAAGTATCTGTCTTCACATAAAACTTTTTGTGACTGCCTGCTCCACTGCTTCAAAACTAGAAAAATGAAAATTAATGTTCAGTGTCTTCCATAATGGATAACCACACAAATGTATTCAAGTCAATTTGAAGTACTTCAAAGAGCAAGTACATCAGACTGATAGTTACTCTCATAGAGACTAACCAACATAATTATATCAAAGCTTAGAAGGTAGAACTTAGAACATAGTTAGATATTTGGATGTCATCATTTTCAGATACCTTAAAACCAAGTATGTTCAAGGTAAGCATAATTTATACCGACTGTTTAAAGGCACACTTAGCACTTATTTTGAACACACAAGCCTCCACCCCACATTAAGCTCCTCCCACTTAGCAACATTTTAGGAGTGTTAATTAGACACCTAAGTCTTCAGTCCACAGAAGCCAAAGCTGAACATAGCGATCAACTGCAAGTTTACTGTGAAAGCACGCTGTCTTCAAAATAACAATTTCGATCAAGCAAAAAAGCAATGCTGCAAGCATCTACCACTAACCCTTCATTATTTTCCACTAACACTAATACCCAAAAGAATCATTACTATTAACTTGCAGCAAGTCTCTGGGCAGATGACGCAACTGCTACAGCAGGGAACTCACCTCATCTACAGACATGGTCGGGTGTGGTGGATGGTTGTAAATACGTTGGAAGTAGCTGTTTGCCTCATCATCTATTTCTTTACTAAAGTGCTGATTAGCCTCTGGCCACACCTGAGATAAGTCAGCTGTTAAAAAAGGGAACAGGTATCATGCTCAGAACAGCTTCAGGCAGTCAGGATTTCATCTCTTCCACCAATCTATACAGAACTTGCCAGTTCTCCTGAGAAGGAAGATATTTAACATTTCCAGTAGAAAGGAATTGTTATTTAAAAATCTATTTTCAACAGATAACATTTATGCAAAGGAACTGAATCCTAAGACAGAATTAACCTCATACTGTTGTATTCCTAGAACCCAAGCTAACCTCAACTAATGCCTAAACTAAATGAATGCAAACCAGACTAGAACAAAGCATGCTACACAACACTGACATGCAGACAAACTTTCACACAAACTTTCAGGCCAGGCAAGCAATTTATAGTAAAAGTTGAAGCCCAAAAACGTAAACTAGTGGTTACTACAGCTCCTCCACTGTGCAGCTATAGAGATTGGTAGCTTAGCTTTTATGTAGGAGCTATCAAAGGAGACACACATAGCAACAGGAACAGGGAAGGTTTAGCATATGGCTATGCTTCCTAAATGCAATGTGGGATTGCTTAAACACTTCACTCTGAGCATACTTCAGAGGCATAAATGAGTTAAGGGTAATGGTTTGGTGTCAGGAACCAAATTATTCCTTCCAAAAACCACTTTCTCACCAACTTTTGTTAGTCTTATTTGTATCCAATGTTGCAGTCTCACTGCTTCACCATCAAGTTCTCTGCTGCAACAGGACCTTACCCACCTTTGTTTAACCTTGTTACAAACAAAACACCCACCCTCTTACCAGATGCATACAATTCTCTGTAAAGAGCAGGACAACGCTCTTGTTCAAAACACAGTATGACAAAAAAGGACAGACACCCTTCTGTGCAAATCCATAACACAGCATATTTTATGCTAACAGCTTTTAAATACCCCCCCCCCCCCCCCCCCCAGCCACTTGGCAAGCTTTTAGTACAGCAGTCTAGAAGCACCTTTTTCAGACTAATGGCATAATACAAGAGCCACATTTCTAACATTTACCACCTACAGATCCAAGCCTCCCCTGAAAGAAATGCAGATTAACTGCAGACCACAGTCACACTTCACAGCCACAGACAACACTACCACTTACAAGGTTTCATCTTACTCTGCTGGAATGTAGGCTGGTTCAGTCCAGATGTGCTCAGCTTCCTTTGCACGAATGGGTCATTGTTCACCGCAGGAAGGCCCAGAGCTCCAGTTCCTATGCCAGTCAGGCTACCCGTAGTAAGACCACCTACTGAAAAGCAAACCTGTAGTAAGACCACCTACTGAAAAGCAAACAACTGGTTATCTCAGTTGCACCCTTCACAGCGTGCAATGATCACTGCAGCCCTTATTTCCAAGAACTGAGCTTTACAGCTTCATAAAGCTGCTTTGTATTAGACAGTTCTCAAGCACTTCTTCGTCTGTCCCAATCTAAAATAATACTGCTAAAGTATGTCAGAACATTCACCCTCTTGACTCTCAAACTTTTTACCTATTGCAGTTGCAATGTTCTGAAGTGCCATTTCAGCAGTGTCCGAGGAGCAAGAACTGTACAATCCCCTCCCACATGACACGCAGCTTTGTCCAGTGCTTCCAACCACAGCAGTAACAGTGCCTTAGCTCCCATATGTCAAAAATACAAACCCCTCCACCCTGATAGCAGTACCTGGAAGCTGTGAAGAGAGTCCTCCGATGCCACTGAAACCTGTTGTCTGGTTTTGGGTAGAAAGAGGGGGGAATGCTTTTGCTGGTGACTGAGGAGTACTGAATGCAGAACCCAAATTTGGAGGGAAGCCTTGCATGCTCTGGGTATGAGGTGCAGCTGAGCCACCTAAACTAAGAGATGCCATTCCTGCAAGCGAGTCGATCTGAATGAAGAAAGGAAGATTATACACAGACATCCATAACCTGCAATCAAGATGATTTTTGGCAGGTTTGGTTTAGAGACAGCTACATATCAAAACATTCCTGAGAAGAGCTTTTCTGTACAGTTACTTTAAACCCTGAAGTCATCCAGATCACCTCAAAAGATTAGCTTGTCTACAGAACACGATTCCACTTTCTTCTACAATCCCATAAAATCCTGTTCTAGCAGAGGTTTTTCAGAAAGGCTGGTTGTTCCATAGTCTCTAGTTAAGTGTAACACAACAGTAAATGCTTATAAGCAGCAGCACAGAGATTTTTACACTAGAGTAGTTTTATGGTTTGCAGTCTGCAAGCTCAGACCCCACCCCAAGACTTACAAAGTCTATTCCGTATCAATGTTACAGAATATTTTTGACTGTCTGAAGGATCCCATTACACCCCCTTTTCACAGCTAAATACCTGAATGCAGTCTTTGATAAAAGCAGTAAGACCTGGGTGATGAGCAGGAGGGAAGGCACAATACCAGCTGACAAAGCAATAAGTTAAGAGCTCCTGGCTAGAAACAGCAGAAAACTGTTATCTACCCCAAGGACAGCATGACTACAGACTAACATCTGCTGCTCTGTTTGTTCACATCAGTTATTTGCAGGAGGTTGCCAAGATATTTGGTACATCTAATGAGCAATTTCAATAAAGCCAACAATTTACAAGGAAACTGCTCTATGTATTTAATTTACGTAATCTACTGATGCTTCAGACATTCTTAAATGCTGAATTGCCACTATTTCATGTGAAAAACTTGTCACTGCTTTAAAATCTGTCATTGAATATAACTGCTAGAAGCAAAATCTGTCTGTAACGTGTTGCTCCCAGAGCAGGAAGGGATGATGACTGGTAGGGAGCAACTTAAGTGCACCTTGTTTTTAAAAAAGCAGTTTAGTTGAGAGCTAAAGAGCCCCAGTTATAACAAATCCTCACACTCTAGCACTGTTACTTAGCCCAGGAAGCTACAAGACATCAGTCTTCAAGGCAATTCTTCAAGTTCAAAGGCAGTGCTTAATTCTCAAAAGTCTTAGTAAACATTAGCATTTTAAAAGAAACCCTCAGTTATTTTAAGTAAGCCAAATCTCTATCCCTCTTATACATCAGTTACTTCTTACATACATTTGTGAAGTGAAAGCCAGTTTTGAGCTACAACCCTCAGGCATTATTCTGTAGTTACAAGCAAGTCACCTATACATACAAGCACAAAACTAAGAGCCAGATGATGTTTTACTTAGTCCTGTTGAAAGAGCTCAAATAGTGCAGCAGAACTAATACTAAATTTTAAGAACGTGGCACGTTATTTGTCTACCTGTACAGGAGAGATGGCATCCAAGCTGCTAGCACTGGGCGGGCGTCCCTTCGGCATGACTCCAGGTGGTGGCTGTCTAGCCTTGTTCATGACATTACTGCAGTTAGCTACCATGGTGAGGATTGTCTCCGATAGCTCCTGAGAAACACTCCTAGAACACAGGAGTAGCATAGTGAGCCACGTAACATTCATGAAACCAAGGCCCTCAACTTGCTTGGTTTTCTTACAGAAATTGGGGCCACATTTCACAAATAGTTGCAGAACAACCCCAGCGGAAACTACAATTTGTTATTTGCAAAACTGGCATTAGAGCATGCGCCAAGAGAAATCACTATATTTAAATAGAAAAAAATTTTAACCTGTAGTTCTAAAAATTGATCTTGAACATAATATTCCCTTGTTTTCAATAATTCAAATACTGCTTTACAGTTACCCTGGCAAGTAATGACTTACAGAAAGCTGCAATGTGTGCCTACACGGCTCCAACAGTCCCTGAAGAGCAGACTATCTACAACAGCCTTTGTTTGTCTGCTGTTGTCCACATCATGGCCTATACAGAGTTCAGCCTCATGCATCAAAATACACAATAATTGATGCTACGATCCCTTGTTCAAATCCGCTCCTCAAGGATTCTCCCGTCCCCAGAGTTCACTGTTCATGATTATACCCATTCTGAACCTTGTTACGCACAAAGTCTCTCCAAAGGAAGAGATACAACATGACTATGAGCTACATGCTCAAAGACAAAAAAGGGTAAGAGGTAAATACCAGCACCTGCTTCACTAAAATTCATCTGTCTATAAACTGAAAGACATGCTTCACACACTAACAGTAAACTGAAACAGACAGGAAACCCAGCTATTCAAGGAAGTAACAACCAAAAGCCAACAGAAAACTCAAACTTAGGCATGAAGTCCTTGCACAACTGAGAGCTGTCAGTACCTCTTTCCAAAGCATTCCACATCTGACTGCCAGGTTTCCAAACTGGAAGGAAAGCCAGCTCTGCTGCTGACATACCTAATCACAAACACACTAACACAACACTAAAACAACACTAACATTCTCCTGGAAAATACAGCCAATTATTTACAGCTTTCCTGAACTTTAGTTCTACCTTTTTGGTGAGGACAGCTAAAGCAGCAGATGCATTCCTGTAATGGTGCAAGTATACCAACACAGCTTTGTTGCTTTGTTAACCTTGTCTAGAGATTGCTCATTTTAATTCAATTTTGACTAGCTTTTACTGCACAGCTGTTGGGATGAGGGGAAAAAGAAAGGAGGAACCATCTTCAAGATCAGGGCAGAAAACAGAAGTGCAGAACAGCCTTCAGCTTTGGCTAGTATCCCATTGCAGGCTACACACAATTAAGGACTTCCAGTTGTTCTCCAAAGCCAGTGATCCACCATGAGGTGTAGGTAAAAGCTCACCCAAGACAGAGAGGGGAACCCAGGAGATATCATGGGTGAGCAGGTTTCCATACAGGGCAACAAACATTTTATCAACTGTTTCACAACCTGATTCCTATACATTCTTTAACATCCTCCCACCAGGGCCTAGCGTCAAACACTTTAAAAGCAACGGGCTTGGGCAGTGTCTATCAAAAAGCAATCAGAAACCTACCTTCAGAAAAAAAAAGAAGACCAAAGGGATTTCTGTTTTGAGGAAGTGCAACCAGACCTGAAGACAGAGCTCTGAGCATGGCACATGGTAGGCTCAGTGTCTACAGTATGTATCTGCCTACACCCCAATACCACAGTCTCAGAAATCTCAACATTTGAATGTGCGTATGACCAATTAACAGGCAGCACAGTTTTTTGAGACATCTTGCATGCCAAGATCATACAGCACTGCAGCTAGCCAGGGTAGGGGACTGGGGACTGAAGAGCTGAGTTCACACGTGGTTACCACCCTTGATCTTTTGCCTTCCCCTTTTTTTGTAGCAGTTAAATTTGCAGTCTTTATACTTAAATACTATGGCACACTTTAGTAAAACAAATTCCAAACCGCTGTAGATAGATAATATTGCAGACCACAATGGAGACTAAAACAGGCTTACAATCCCAGAGTTTGATGCTTCTGGTGTCCAGTTAGGCCATCGTGCTTTGGAGCAAACCACTAAGATTACATCCTGCCATCTAGACAGACTGAAGGTTAACTTTATCATGTCAAAAGACACACTAATGTATCAAGATGCAAACACCACAATATTTTTTTTTTTTTACAAAGTACAAACCTGCAGGTTTTCACAAAAAAATAACCAACTGCATTTGAGGCAAATGATGAAGAAATAAGTACAAGGGCATGATTTGATAACCAGATCTTAAAGAAAATGGTCATATTTTCAAGTTCTACGTAAAAATATATTCAGGCATCTAACCTAATCAGTGCCATTCCCAGAAGAAAACTAGGGAAAAACCGCAGGGAGGAGAACTTTGAAACATAAGTAAGGAGGAAAGCAGGGACCACAGTCAGCCAGCTCTAGAGGAACAAAACTGTCAGCTTAAGGGAGACTCCAGTTTGCTGGAATAACAAGTTCACATCTCTTGCATTCTTTTCACCCATTTTTACAAAGCCAGGGCAGGCCTTTTCATTCCCCGAGGCACAGATAGCCAGAAGCCTCTTCCCTTCTCGAGGCAGGGATTGCGAAGGAATGACCATTCCCCATGCTGACACACTTGGACTGCACCGGACTCGACTGCAAGGGAGAGGCACAGCTGCCCCTCTCAACTCACTGCAGCTCCTTGGGGGGAGGACTTCTCACAGGCAGTTTGTTACATCACATGCTTGGGCAGCCTGTGGTGCCTGCAACCACCCTGACTTCATTTTAAAACCACTTGGTAATAAAAGGAACACTTATTTCTTCTTGAAGCCTCACTGCTACATGATGCCACAACTGCAGCACTCACCAGTGATAAACAAGCTGCACCAAAAATAAAGAGTCTCAGAACACGCAAGGTCCTGGTGGCTAAGAAAAGCATCTCCCTGGACACAAAACAGGACAAGAAATAACTACAGCCTAATTAAAGAGCAGGCTCCTAAATCAAGAGATTCAGGAGATGGCAGAGTTCAGCTAGTGAAGTGCAACTGCCCTCCCAGATGTATTTAATATTTACAGACATATTTAATATTTACTGCAATTTTAATCTTCTAGTCTTTACAACGCCTGCTTCCATTCATGACTGAAACATAAGATAATCAAAGCAATTGCTTCATGAAAGGAATCCAACCATTTTCTTTTTAAAGATGAAAGAGAATAACTAATAGAAAATGACTGCAAGTAGGTCACATTCTTGCATAAAAGGGAATATAAGTAGCTATAAAAAGAAACCAAAAGCTGAGAGAATTGTGCCAATAGAGAACTAGTGGCTTTCGGAACTAATTGAATAAATAAAACTTGGTAACATATTAAGATTCAGAACACAGTGACATTAGATGCAAGTCAAGTCTGCAGTTAACTATTAAACCTCTGACACCTGGACACAGTAGCATTCAAAATAACAGCTGTAAGTCAATTTGTGAATTATAGTCTCAGAAGATGCACTTTCAGTTAAACATGTAACAGGCATTGTTCAGTCCAAGAGGTGTGCTACATCATTGTATTTCATGAACAATATTTCAACAGCATTTTGATCTTTAATTGCACAGGTCCCAGCAGAAATAAGGAGAATCCCTTCACCTAAAATTTTACAGGCACCTCAGATTCCTTTCCAGTTCAAATACCCATCCTCACTATTCTATGTTGATACTAATTTCCTAGTGTCTACATGAGAGCCATGAATCATCCCAGATACCTTTAACTATGTTCCTTGTAACTTTCAAGACAACACTGGCTAAGCCAAAGGACACAGGAGAAGCCTTACATCAGTTAACACACACTCAGACATGCCAGACTCTTTTGGTGTCAAAATTTAACACCAAAACTAGCACCATCTCTGGCTCACGTCACACTATGCTACACCTGGTTATCTTTGAAATACTGCTGCATGCCATCTTGATCTGACAGCATTAAGAAGTGACACTACAAATACTTCACAACATTCAGTCATTTCACTAAACATTAACACAGTATTTAGAAACTGATTTGCCCCACTTCAGTTTCCATGAGCCTTTCTGTGGTCTACCCCTCCCTCTAGCAGATAAAACAGCTCTCTGGGACCCACATTTTTTCCTTCCAGAGTTTAGCTAAACGATCTGACCTGTGAAAGATCTCAGGTATTTTCCATCCTTTGACTACTTTGAGACTGTCTCAAGTACAAACAACAGAAGTCACAGGTCTAGTTTCGGACTCAATTACACTACAATCACCACTTAGCACTTTTCTCCTAGACATAAGGATTGCATTAGCCCTTTCTGCTGGACTAGTAACCACACAGACATTTACTTAACACAATCACAGAATCCCTCATACAGTCACTGTTTCCAAGATGCTGTCTCATGCTGTAGTTACAGCCTGTATTCCTTTTTGTCCAAATTACAGCCCTGTATATAGTCATTAACGACTCGGGAACAGACTAATCAGCCATCCCCCAGTTACCAACATGACCTCACCTGTTTCATTATAAAGACAAGAGCACTCTGTCAAGCTCTTGCGACCTAGCCTACACTACGACAGAAGTTTCAGCGTGAAATTAAGCATGCTACTATCCCTGCAAGCTTATATACCCTCATTAAGCCCATGCTCCACGTGAAATTCCAAACCAGCTGCCAGCAAACAAGTCCCAAACAGATTACACATTCAGCATAAGCAGTCATCCTTACCCAGCACAAGCTTGCAGACATGCCAACATAGTCGCCAAGGTTTCTGGAGGAAGTTGAGCACTTTTGGGCTGATCTTTTTCTGGAGCAAGGCCACCCAGGATAGATGGACATCTTCTCTTTAAGAAAGTCATACAGGCCTGGATGAAGGGCTCCTGAGGAAAAAAATATTATCTTCATCTCCCAAACTGCATCCAAACAACTATTTCAAACTTGGCAATTGCACCGTGGAAAGAATCGCACTAAGTTATTATAGTTCAGTGAAAACATTGAACTATCAGACCATGGACACATTCCACAACTTTAAAGCTACTTATAAAACTGTTAAAGTGACTCAAGTGAGTCACTGATAAAGTGCAGAAATAAAAAGAAAAATTCTGCTTTACCCCATGCTCCCGAATTTTATCTGTGAGCCATTTGTCAAGTTTGAGGTATTCCCGTCGAGAGGCAAGTGCAGCAAGGTCAATAACAAAGGCAAATGGAGTACCATTTAGCAGCATTGACAAGGCCTAAAGAAAAAAAAAAATCAAAAGACTACTAGTGAAGACACAAGGATACCCTTTCTCCTTTCTTTTCTTTTTAATCCCTACATACTTTTTAGTAAAGAAGTCTTGCTATCACATGCTGCTATGCTTTCTTTATCAACAAGAAGATTGGTGCTATCAGCTTCACTTACAGCTTGCTCATGAGATAAATAAGCAAGAGCTCTCATTTGACATCTTTGAAGCAACCTTGTGCTGACAGTTTTAAATTTCTCTATATGAGCATCCACCAGCAAGCAGCCAAGAGCTACCAAGTTGATATTGCAACAAAATTAACCTGAAGAGCCTAGCATCTCCCTGCAAACAGACCTCAACCCTTTCAGAGCCATTTTGAATGTATCTGCTCAAGGCATCCACCTTTGAACACTAACTGCTACAACAAAACTCATTTCAAGCAGCAGTTGGTGCTTTTGCACTTAGAAGACATGAATTATTTCGCATCTAACTTTAGGAAGCAATAAAGGCCCCAAAGTCAGTCACAACTTCCAGTTTCTTTTGTGAATGTGTAAACAACTGAATAGCAGTACTAGTCTTAAGAAATCCTCGTTCCATTAATTTTAGCAGTGCCATCTTCACAAAAAGATCTGAAGGGCATTTTCTACATACCCATTTCAATGGTATTCTGAGGTTAAAACAGTCAAAGCTCTTCCTGGATTTACATTACATTCACACAGCAAGCAGTTCTATTACACTGCTTCCCAAGTCACTTGACAGCTAAGCCATGATAACCAACTCTACTGCAAACACCAAGTAAAATGTCTTAGGTTCCCAACTGGACAGGCTAGAAAGCCCCTGTAGTCAGACAGTCCCTGTAGTCAGATATCACAACTCAGATTAGAAGCGCTTCAAGTCACATGGACATAGGCTGTCAGTTTTGGGTTTGTTGGGTTTTTTTTGTTTGTTTGGTTTTTTTTGGGGTTTTTTTGTTTGGTTTTTTTTTTTAAGATGAGGCACAGCAGCAACAACTGAATTCAGACATGCTTAAGCAAGGTAATCCTCACTCAACTAGTCACATCTAAGTTAAGCTTAGCCTTTGTTAAAACATGAGCAAGCCTGCATAAGACACCAGACAGAAAATAATGGCAGCGTTTTGCAAAACTCACCTTCAAGTCTTGCGCCACATCAAGAATACGTGACAATTTTGCCTGGTCATACTGCTCCCCTCTCATGTACCATTCTGCCATTGCATGCATGATAAGCTGACGAATCGAAGGAGACTGACCCTGAGGAGAATTAAATTAGGATTGTACTGCATGCCTCTAGGAAAAGGATCAACTATGTGAACATTAAGTAGGATATTTTACCTCTAAAGCTTAACATAGCTTCAGAACTTAGCTTCTGTGTTGGACTGTGCAATAATAAACCATCCAGGAGCTACAACTCAAGGGTGTAGAATGACTACAAATAGTAAGTACATCCCCACCTCTTTCCTACCACTCTACAGGTCTAATTCCTCTCAACTGTAGAGAAATTGCTTTTGGAATATGCAAGTCATTTACAAAAACGTAATGCCAGACATGACATCCTGAGTTGAGAATTGCAATGTCACACTTTAACATGGAAAACACAGTATCTAGCTCTTTACTCACACAGGGGCAATTTTAAACTAGAACACAACTAAGACTTTGACGTCAGCAAGGGTTTTGCTTAAAGATTCCCTCATTTGGGGAAGTGAAACATCCTCAAGCTGTGGAATGGCACCACATCACACCAGTGCCATTGTTATACACTTTATTCTGAAGCCTACCCTGTGGAAAAACTGCATATTCTCCATTTCAAGCCCTTATGCAAAAAGCACACCACTTCTATGCTATCCCTCAAATCTTCAATTTAAAGACTTCTATCAGGAAAAATATAAAAGTTCAGCGCTCCAGCTAGCAAATAGCTGTAATTTTGCAGTGAACGTGGACCAATACCTCAGAGGTCAAGCGTCTTACTAGCTCTACTTGAACAGAGCAAGATGCTTCCTAATGCAGATTCCCTCCCACCCTTGAGGCTTCCTCTGCTTTAAGTTTCTTCTTATGGCTCCTATTTGCTGAAGTACCCATGGACACAACGACAAAGACCATACCTAAAGGCAAACTCCTAAACCCCTAGTTGTTTGCCCACTAAAAACATGGGATTTACATACATAGTTACCCTGTCTTTACATAGAAGCTCTCTTTGTCAAAGGTCAGCAGTTAGTCCTACATTTCCAGAAAACACTGCTAACGCTTAGGGTACAAGTAGTTTCTTTATACCTAGAACAGCCTCCATCTTTTAGCAAGGACAATGGAGATTATTTTGGATTAAAACTTCCTCACCTCTTATTGCTGCAAGTTTGCAGCCTTTAAATGTTTGAGGTTGAGAGTTTGCTGAGCAGGTTTGTTGCTGTTGTGAGGGTTTTGGTGTTCTTTTGTTCTGGGTGGGGTTTGTTTGTTGTTTTGAGGGTTTTTTTTTTTAAATCAAGTTTTGGTCAACTTCAGTTAAAATGGAAAGGTTAGAAGTCAAACATAGCTTTGGTGTCTCTACTTTTCCAGGAATATTTTCCTCAGTGGACATAATTTCTTTGTTCTGAATGCATTTCCCCAAAGATAATCAAACCACAACAGCTTGCTTCAATACAGAGAGGAAGAGAGGAGACAGCTCATACTACTTTGGGTAAACCACTGATAATTTATCTTTGGGGTTTTATATTACCCAGTTCATAAACCAATAGATGTATTGTTGTTTTAACTGTTCCACCAATTTAACAAGCTTTCAACTACATGACACACTACAGGCACACTCCAGTGAAAATACTTACCTGTCCATGCCATGCATAGTGCAAAATGATGGCAGAGTTGGGATGGTTGCCAAGGAAAATTGGCATGAGCGTGGAGATGAGTTCATGGCGCAAGGTATGCCAGGACGTGTTGATCTGCAATAAGGCCAATACTAACATATCTGGGCAATGCTTGATAGGAAAACTGAAGAGCTGCTTAACCTGCTCATACTGTCCCACTTCCGCCAAACGTAACAGAGATTCAATCAAATCCAGGCTCTTCCTAACAAAAGAAAATAACAAACAGACAACACCCCAAAAAAGTTACAAAGCAGTTAGCTTACAGGATCCTGGATTCAAGTATTTTGTAGCAAAAACTGTAAGACAATATAAAGCAACGCCCACTGCAAACAATCTGATATTACAGCTCTTATCACATACAACTAAGCCTACAAAACCATTCTTGACCTTGAAGAATAACTCAGTTTCTTGTTTTTAAACAAGCCAATTTAAGAGCTCAAGAGCTTCTGAGTCTGTTAGGGAAGAGGGAGAATTTAAAGCTGATGTTGAAAAAAATTCAGCTTGAGGTGAGTCACTTGGAAATTCAGCATGAAATATACTTCCATGACTGGAATACACTTTTTTTTTTTAAACACTTCCAAGTCTGTTTCCCCACCTGTGAAACTTAGTGGTGATATTCTACTTCTTTTGTCTGCTTTACAGACAAGTCATCATTGCCACCTTCCCCAATCTACCTGTACTCCTCATCCTCCAATTTCCTGGTTTGGGCCATACAATGGAAATGGAAGCAAATATCTTCACTGAAATCAGCTACACAGCTATCCCAAAAGAATGGATGCAAAGGTCAGCTCAAAAAGTCACACTAGTCAACTTCATGCAGTAACTCAGCAATAGCTATAGAAATTTACTATTTAAATCCCAGGACTTCTTTCATACAAGTAGAACAAGTTTCTCTAACGTCATCTCAAGAAAGATTTAAATTCATACCTCCTCTATCATCTCCTCTCAGCTCACAGTATCTGCCAAAATACATCAGCAGAAATTGTCCAGACACCCAGAAGACTCCAAAGAAAGCAGGAACTGGCAATACATTTTCAGATATTACCGAGTACGTAGGAAGTTCTGATATGAGAACTTTCACCTACCAAACACTGAATAAATACTAATGGCTGATCTATTGGGATGTACACACTGCTACGAACAAATCTGGTTGCACGAAAATAACCCCCCATTTGACCAGACAAGTGATCGTACTCTAACTCTAGGTATGAAAAGCAGTTGAGAACAGGTTTACCATGTAGCAATTTCTCGATTGTCATCCTCTGGTGGTGCTTTCAGGATGTCTGTGGCAACAGTATGACAAGGGTAGTCAGCAAAACAGAAGATGTCAGGGTTTATGAGGGAATGTTGAATGAAGGAGAGCTGGAATAAAAGACAGCAAAAGTAGTTTAGATACTTACCTTCAAGTTCCTTCCACTTTATCAACCACCACATCTCCAAGAACGATGTAAATCAACAAAGCAGTACAGATGAGCCAAGATTTGACTATCAACGTGTTTTACCCAAGACTGAACCTCACACTTCTCTTCCCAGGATTTCTGGAAGTGACAGATAGAGGTGTGCCGAGGGTACTCATCTGCACAACGCTGTAGCCTTTTAGTGCAACCAGGTAGAAACCTCAGAGCACAGCCATGCAGTAACAGCTCTACACTCAGCTGAATTACTCCTCAGCACTCCGCTAAAACCAAAGGTGGTGTCACACGTGTAGCAAGTGACCAACTCCTCCCAAACAATGCAGACATGGTTCAACTAACAGACTGTACTTCAGTAACATACCTAAGACGTGTGCCTTACAGGCCAAGTTCTCAAAATCCACATTCTTAAAATTCACATTACTAATCTGCATTTGCCATTCAAGAAATTCAGGAACTTCAAGTGCTGTACAGATAGAACAGAAACATTAGTAAACCTACCTGGCCCTCTGCATGCTTCCAAGGTCTATATATGGCATTAACTGGAAAAACTTCCATGCCCAGCCCTCTCTGAATGCCAAACACTACAATATGCAGGCCTTTGCTGTCACGAATCTGAAACCCCGGATGGTCCAATTCGTAGGTTACTACTTTGAAGTCCAGGCTAGGATTCTGCAACCAGAAAAAAAACAGAGTAGTCAGCCTTGAATCTTCAGTACTTAAGAACCTCTCCATCAGTATTTTATGGAGCTTAACATCCACCCAACTCTTAGTCAAAAGAAGGTTTTTGTTTTAAAAAGAACAGGATTTAGATAGTTGTGAGAACTTGATGCAAGTTAGTGTTTGAAACTAGCCTGTGAGATTGCACTTCCCCTAGCACTACAGGCAGTAGATGTCTATCCTTCCAAACATTTCATTAACAAGTCTTCAAAAACCACCCAAACACACAGCTCCTTTCTTAGCAGGCTCAGTCCTTTTGTAGGCTTCCATATGCCCTCCAATAAAAGGCTGAAGGCTCTGACCTACTGGCAAGCAAAACTTGCTTTTCCTTTTAAAGAAAATACACAGCAAGTACTTGCAAAGCACCTGTTAGATTTTCAGTGATAGCGTGAAACCATAAGGATGAGGGAACTATGGCCATTGTTGAACACAGACCACTCCTTTCAGAGATAGGTGAGCACCAAAGACAAAGCTAGTTGTACGTTCCAAGGTTTAGAAAAACACAACAGTGATTCCTGCACAGATTAGAGGGAACATACAGAAAAAAATCCCCCAATATAAGGTAGGAAAAGAAACTCGTGTTTCACTGAGTTAATTACAAAAATTGCTGCTTATAACATGGCAGAAAATCTTTCCTATTTCTGAAGCATTTAGAGTTTTGGAACAGGTAGCTACAAAGACATTTCATTTTCATCGTTAATGCCTACAGCAAGAAGCTTTTCAAGACAAGGTGCATGATGCACAAAGCTTTCCACTGTCAGAAGCAAGTTCAACACAAAGACTCCCAGAGAACACGTTTGACTACGTGGGAGCAGTGTGGAATAAATCTCAAGTTGCACCCAAGTCAGCCATTCATGCAGCTTCTGTCTCCCACAACTCCTCAAAATATTCTTGTTCATGAGAGAAAAAACCCACCAACCATTTAAGCACCACTAGCAGCACAACTACGTTAATGAGATTCAAAGCCATTCAGGCTGCTAGGAGCTTAAAAAGCTTTATATTCACACTGAGATATGCCCTTCTTTCAAATATTCTGCAAAGACGATCAAGATGCTCATAAAACTTACCAGCTCTTTCAGAACATCAATTAAGACCTCCACATTCCAGGTATGGGCTTGTGCTCCATCACTTTTATCTTTCCCATCACTCCAAATCCCACTGCCAGGAGCTGAAATAGACTGCAAGTTCAATAGACTCAATCAAATACTAGTTAAAATAATGCAGTCTCAAAAGCCACTAGCTCCAGAACTCCCTGCACTATGAAGGTAAGCACAAGTTCAGAGCAGTAACGACATCAGTTGCACACTTCTGAGGATCTTTCATTCAAGTGTTTTATAGACATTTACAGCAGAACAGATAGAAGTGTAAGTGTGGAATAATAAAAGCAACTCTTAAATTACTAGAGGCTTGCATTTACTCATTTACTGCTGATTAAAATATATATAATCCCCATCCCAGCAGGCCACTCACTTGTAATGGAATACCATCCGTCAACCCCGAATGAGTTCGGGCCATCATCCCCAAAACCCTGGCAACCTGGGCAGCCGTGACTTCCCGCACACCGAACTGCATGATTATGTTGCGACATTCTTCAACACTAAGATGCAACAAAACAGAAATATCTTAATACAAAAGCAGGTTTCACTGGGACACAATATAAGACAGACCGACCAAAACAGGACCTGTGAGTACAACTGGGACAGCAGCCATTGTCGGGAGAAACAAACTGCAGGTAGTAAAATAGACCATTTACACCAGTTACATTAGTCAAATGATGCAATATAACAAAATTCCGGGACAAGCAAGAAGAGACATTCAGTAGAAAGTCTGCGCAATTACTTCCATGAAAAACTGTGCCATGTATTCAGTTCAAAGCTAGGTCTACTTAAGCAACAGTGAGAGATGCTTCACAGGCTGTGCTCTGTCACAGTAAGAGCACAGGGTATGTTTAGCACCATTGTCTGTTAAAAACACTTCCATGTATTGACCTGTGATACAAAGCTTCAAAGACTGAAGTTTTCTGCTAGCTAAAAGTGAAACAAAGGCTTTGAGAATGTACATCTCAAAATGATGATGTGCACAGTTCAAAAGGTAAGCTGTGGAAGTGTGCCTTTTAGCCTGATGCAAGCCATGGTGTCTCTGATCAGAGGCCACTAGCAAAAACCTTCAAGAAGCCACAAGTGCAAACAATGAGCAGATGCTTAAGTTCCAATTTGGGAACTGAAGCCCTTTTTTGCAGTTTGTTTCACTTTGTGAACACTTTATAATTAGCCCAGAAACAGTCACACAGCATCAGTATAGATATAAACAATGTTTTATTAACAGGCACACATTAACAGAGGAAATAATTTTCAGTATCTTCCAACACATTTGTATTGTGCTTCCTTACTTCACTGTTTAAACAGAAACTTATTTTAATATCTGAGATTTGGTCACCTCTCCAACAGTCTGTCTTTTCAAATAAGAATCATCTACTTCTTAGCTTATACTTTTTAACGAATCTTCCTTAAAAAACCCAAAACACTAGGCTCATACTGAGGGTTAATACTAAGACTCCCTTCAAAACTTGTAGGCTCCCATTATCGCTACCAGTATTAGAGCACTACCCTAAATTCTTAAAAACCACATTCAAAAATTGAGCTGGACTTGTGCAGATAGCAGGAAATAAAACTTTGAATATATTCAAGTTAACTTTTCAATAGACAGCTTCTGACTGAAGTCTAGCTTCTCCTTCCACTTTCCTAGTAATTATTCCGATTCATACATGCCTATAAACAAACAGCACACATAATGCAGCGTTTGCACTACGTGCTATAAAAAAAAATCTTTAGTCCCACTGACACCACTCCCACAAGCCCACACAGCTCGATGGATGACAGCCTGTGTCACACAGCTCCAGCAACTCAGAGCTGCCCATCTAACACTTCAGACTAGAGGCAGAGAGCAAGAATACAGAACAGTACTGAAGATGAGGGTAATGTATATCTACAAATACATACACACAAAAGCAGGGTGAGTTTAAGACAGCTATTATTTTTACCAAAACAAGCCTAAGCAGGCAAAGACTGATAGCCATCAAGATACTCTAACAATCCACTATCATAATTAAAGATTCTACAGCTGTAAATGATCTCAATCATCCTGTGTACCAGTGATCAAAACCCAGTACAAACAGAAAGCTGGTCAACTCTCCTGAAGTAAGACTACTACCTTCAGTTCTTCTACAGTCTAGTTCACGGACAGTGAGCTAACAGGGGTCTGTCACAAGAGCAAAGCTCTTCACAAGATCTTAGTAGTATTTAGCCGGAATTTATGCCTAACTACTCACTTTGGGTTTACCTAAAAAAAAGATGATTGTCAAATTCATATAAAATCTTCACAAAGAATTTGAATACCTTTACCTAGCACTTCTAACCACGACAAAACCCTACGCAATGTCAACAGAAATGCTATACACATTAGAAGAAAGCAAAATATAAAACAGAAACCAAAACAAGTGATCTCATAATGCTTAGTAAGGTTCTAGTTATTTTAGTACTTTAAGTGTTCTTCACCTTCCGCCTCGAGAAACAAGAAAGAAAACCACCACCACCCAAGATACTTGAAAATTACATTGTCCTACAAACCTTGTACAAAAACCATAGCCAACTTCTTGCATGAAATCTGCCAGAGAACTCTCCATCATGGTTTTGGCTATCCCTCCAGAATCAGGCAGGATCCTGTCCATTAGAATGTCCCGTTTTTCAGGGTATAGAAGTGGTGCAAGCACCACAGGGCAACGTTCCTGGGGAAAATCTAAAGGCAAGAGTAACAAAAACTGTCAAAACCCCCAGAACACCAGTCATATGCAAGCAACTACTCAAAATAACTTGACTGCTGTGCTAGAGTTTCCCTTCTGCTACAAAAATCAAGAGGGCATTCTTGCGGCACCCCTCCATCCCACCTCCCAGTTCTCTACTGGCACTTGTCTATTCCTAGAGAACAAGAATGTGGAAGGGACTAGGTTCAGGCAGCTTCACGGCAGCTGCCCAAAAGGGCTAGCAGCTGTGCTGGCAGTAGGTTTAGAACCAGACTGTCACTAACAGCAGTCATCCAAAAAAAGCACAGAGCAGGAAACAATACAGCAGTACAGCAAAAGTCTCTCCTCCAGCTCAGGAAGTATCAGGAAACAAAGGATCTGCTATTGAGCCTAAGAATCTAAACCAGATCCTTGGGCATGGGAAGAGAGAAAAAACCTCCCTTCCTCCTTCCAGGAAAGCAAAGTTGAAGAAACACAGTAATGAGAGGACCAGATGCATGGATGGGAGTTCTGATCACAGTGGAAAGCAGCAAATGCACCTTATGGGCAGGTCTTCCTGAGACAGCATTATCTTTAATATGATGCATCATGTCTCCATACCCTTCGGGGCCATTTAGAAAAGAGTTCCCAATTTCCCAAAGCAAAGTGAGGGGAATTACAGAAGCTAATACACTGATCTTCCTTAAAGTAAGTATGAACTAAGTTACACTCAAGCAAACAGAACAAATATTTTGCTCTTGTATAAAGGGTGCCTTCCTCTAGATCTGTGCAAAAATCAAGGAGAGGGCTGAGTTAAATTCAGTTAGCTTCGAGTCCAAACCCTCCTTATTCTGATGGGTTTACAGCAAACACTTGTTTCGGAAGAGACTACCATATCAGTAACATTCCCTGCTGTCACAGAAGGACCACGGAAGCTTCCAGGAAACAAACCAGCATTTTATTCAAAAGCATTTCCCTTGCTGTGCTAGCATTTCCTCTTTGATCTGCACCCAATACGAACAACCGAGTGCTTAAAATCTACCTGTTTGAAATGGTAATTTATGTTCCTCACACTGTAAGGAGTTCAAGTTTTTCAACCACAGTGCACTGAGTTTCTTTAGTTAAACCCGCAAATACCATCCCACACAAGCCAGCAAACACAGACTTGAATACCTCCTACTTAATGCCTATTTATCACAACTGTTCAAAAAACCCAAACATGAGACCACATTACAGCGCATCGAAAGGAAAAACATCCAGTATGAAAATCCATTTCAAAGTTTGCATTTACTCAGGCTTCCGGAACGCCACTACACTTACCTCTACGTAATGTTTTGAGGAAAGCGTCAATCTGTTCCTGTCCTACCCCAAAGGCTCCCTTCTGCCCAAAAAGGAGATGGGAGAGGAGAAGGTGCAGGACCTCTATTGCAATATCTTGGAAGCCACCTTCTTGATTTCCACTGACGTCCGCGTCAATGTAAGAGCGCAAAAGATCCGGGAGTTTCTGTTTGATAAACTGTGCAGCTTTTGAAAACAGAGGAGGGGCTAGTGTCAGAACCTGAAATTTCTTTTTAATATAAAGACTCTTTCCAGCTAGTACCATTCTCTTAATCTTGAGTTTGTTTACCACAAGACACAACAGTTCAGATTTAAATAGAAGTCTTATAATCCATACCTCAGAACTTAAATACTGATTGACAACTAAAGGTAAGATACCACAGTGGCTCAATTTGATTCATTATCTAGCAAGTCATTCATAGAATGGACCGTCAACACCCTATAAGATGACTGTCCTATCTATTGGCCCTCTCAAAACGGTGTTACACTTCAGTTGCACCACTAACTGCAAGGTCTTGCACTACTCGGGTCACACAGGCACATGTCTATCCATCTAGAAAGCCCACTGCTTAAAGAAAACAGGTGTCCCTGCCACAGTGCTCTGGAAGCTTCACTTACCAAAACCTCGTAGATCTGAGCTGAAAGAGTTCAGTAAAGCGAGACCAAAAATCACCTACAAACAAGAATAAGCATCACCACAGTAAGGGGACATCATCCTTTCTAACAAGCTTAGTCAAAAACCATTAAAATATTTCTGAAGTAAGTGTTCACCTACCTCTTGAACTTTACTTAATTTGATGACTTTACTCAATTGGGCAAATAAATGGGGTGAAGGCTTTAGACTCTGAAACAGGTAAGAAAAATTAGATGGAAGCTGTTATAGGATTAGGCTCATTTGTAATGCAGCAGGGAATCTAGAGTCCATTTGCACATCTGGAGTATTAGGAATTACTCTGCTGTAGGTTAACACAAAGTTTATATGGCTAAACAAACATCTCTGGAACTATTTTTGAACACATCTAAAAGTGTCTTCCCCATATCCCACTCACTATTAAACCACTATCATGGCTTTCATATTGAAAGAAACTGAAACACTGATGATTTTGGTTCTGGCTGCCACAAACAAGCCATAAAGTACTAACATTAGATTAAGCTCTAAAATTAGTTTGCATTCCGAGTGATTGAATAACTTGCTCAGCTTAACCAAAAAACCCAACTTCTAGGCAATCTCAATTTTTGAAGACTTAATTACAACTAATCTTAGACATACCAGACAGGAAAAACACAAGCGAAAACCCTCTGGTTTCCCACAAACCAATTCACTGCAGCTTCTGACACAGGGATCCCTTTCAAGAAGCATACAAACCTTCTGATAGTGCAACGGATTGTCAATGGCGTAGGACAGCGTCGAGATAAAGTTTGGTTTTGTAATCAGCGACGCACACTCCTGGATCAGAAATTGAGTCTGAAAAGAACATGGGAACTTGAACACTCATATTGTTTTGTAACAGGACAGTAAAACAAAAATTCTACTTCCATTGTCTGCAGTAAAACTAAACAAAGATAAGGTTCTTAAGTCTCAGTGCCCATATTCTCATTAACTAGTTTCTTTTCATTCAAGTTTTCTTCAGGGTTAGTTTGGGTTTTCTTTTAACACTGAGATGACCAAACATTCTCCATCATATGCGCAATGTTTCACTTTCTGTAAGCATCGTCAAACATTGTAATAGACTATCTAAGAATATTTGATTTCTGTTTATGAGCTAAAAGTCTGTGGCAAAATTCCTTAAGGATGAAAACACTCCTGACAATAAACATAGCCAGCACCAGAAGTGCTGGTTAGTGGATTTGGACAAAGTTTTAAAAGACAAAGAACACTGCATGTGGCAGAAAGAGCAATTGTACTGAAGCTATCTGTTTTTTCCTGATCAAGCAATTTTAAGTGTCACATATTAACAATTTGTTGTCTTCTGACTTGAGGACTGGCAAAAGATGCTTGCAATTGAAAGACCTTATACCAGAAAAGAAGTTTGCTTGAAGCTACTACTCCTAACTAGCCTTTGTGCTTAAAACCGATCAGATCCTATCGCAGATCTTTAACAACCAAGACTAATAAGCAGACATCTCAGTGCAAACTGATTTTACCTGATGAAAATCTTTGCCACTGCTTTTACCATCGCCACTGAAATCCACGTGCGAGAATAGACAGCGTAGTAAATGCCTGTCTGCCTCGGGACCGTGCCTATTCACAATCTGGAAAAAAAAAACAAACCAAAAACCAACTTGGTAGCAAACAGTCATTACAGAGCAAGATCTGGGTCTAGTACTATGGCTACAGCAGTACTTCTAGTGGATAGGTCGTTATAGTTTTAACAAAACTGCTAAGAATGTTCCTTTTTAATCAGTAACCTACAAACCAAGACATTAACTCTTTTTGCAAATGAGAAGTATAAACAAAGATAAAGAAAGAATCTAGACACAAGTAATTGACACAGAAGCCGTGCATTTCTTGGGTAGTATTCTTAAAAAGCTAAGTAAAAAGGAGTTTAAGTCACCTAGAGGATGATTTCAAGCTTCTCTGCCACCAAAGCAACCCAGAATCCACACAGTGCCACAGCAGCACTTTTCCCCACAGCTACGGGTGCCTAACTCTGCAAGAGTACAGCCTTGGGACAGCTTGCGCCTCTGCGCTATGCCTGCGTAGCAGGAATTTATCCCATAGACAAGCCATCAGACAGCAGCTTCGCTACTGATCTTGCAGAAAGCTTCTACGTTGTCTCCTGGTCAGGACTGACCCGACTGCCATTACTCCAGGGTCTTTTAAGACATAAGGGAATACTATACAGGAAGTGTTTCCTGCCATCTAAAGAAAAAAGTTCATCTCAAACTTGCTCATTAGCAAGCCTCAAAATCAAATGCCACACACCGAACACCTGCAGCTGAGACCTTTTGCCAAGTCCTTCCCCTGTCATCAGAGCTCATCCAACTGAATTCTATACCTCAGTCATAAACAGGTGATCTGCATTTGTTACTTTGTAACACCTAACACTCATTACTATATCTTAACAACAATATTACACTTTTGTTAGCATTCCCTATCATTTACCTTAACTCTTGCTACAAATCAGCTCATCAGCTTGTTGTTTGAAGTACCTTCAGGTTGTCCCAATGCTTATTCATTTCTTAAACCTCATCTAACTAGACAGCATTATTTGTTTTTAACAAAATCCATACTGGCAAAAATTCGAAGTCACTTAACCACCAGTAGCTTGCCTCTTTTGTCCAAATAGTAGCAGCTAACATCAAATCCAACCTTTCATCTGTTGGCAAAATTTTTGCCATTGTTTCCCCATCTCTAGTTGCAGGACAGACACATGTGCCAGTACAAACCAGCAGCTCTGACTATGCTCTGACTGCCTCCACCAAGCCCACTGCTTCACCCTGTCATAAATATCCTCATTTGCCAGTAGTTTCTTTGTGCAAAAAGACAACTGGCATTGCTTTAGGCTGTGTCTGCTCCAGCTCTGCTGTTTCTGATTGTTCTCATCTCAATTCTACCATTATCTGACACTGTACTTCCCTCTCCTTCACAGCCTGCTTATTCCAGTAACTGCCAAGTTTCGTTCTGGTGGAAAGAAACATCCCAGTCTGATCTAGCTCTGCTTCTTGCCCAGAGGCTAGAATATAGTGCTAGTGGTGTGGTGTGTCAGTCCAGAGTAAATAGCCCACTCCAGTTACATTGACAGTGCTGTCTTCAAAGGAGCCAACCCCCATGATTAGGTAGGAAGATGCTCAGATTGGTGCAGAAGGCAGCAAAATGGATTTGACAGCAAGTTCTACTAGTTAGCTCAGGCTTCAGAAAACAGGAAATTCATTCAGGCAATCCCAATTAAATATGTAGATTTAAATGCAGTAACAAGACCAGCATGAAGCTGGATCAATCGCCTAGTGAACTATTTGGTGCTATGACCAAGATGGACTCAGCAAAAAAGATGGAAGCAGAAGAAAACTGTACATATTAAAGCCATCAACACAACTTCTCTGCATCAGAATAAGATTGCTTCCTCTCTTAGAAGCAAGTTCAGAAGG